ACATATATACAGTGTATATATGTATGTATGTATTTATATCCAACAAGTTCTAAAAGGCTCACAATGAATAATAATAAAACTAAAATATTAAAATATTAAATAAAGCAACAGCAGAAAAGCAAAGGCTGCAATAATATAGCCCAGTGTAAAGTGCATTATAATAATCCAGATGAGTTCTAATAAAGGCATCTCACAGAATTACATTCTCCAGAAACTGATTAAGTTGGTGCATCATCTTCAGTTGGATAAGGGTGCTCCTAGTTGCTCCTAGTACCAGAGCCTCAGGAGTCAAGGCCATGTCCAGGAAAACCCCAGAATAAGTGTTAAGAAAAGTAAAGCTACCTGATAAATTATGAATATATTAAAGGTCAGATATTCCGGACGATTTTCAGTCCATCTTACCTTAAAGGTAGTACATTTTCCGACAACAGAAATGAAGGCTGTAGGCTGAATATGAGTAAAATATTTGGAGAAAAGCCCATAACTCTATCCCAAGATACATATCTTGCATTCAAAAGGACTTAAGAGTTAATCCTAACAACTCCAATTAAATAATATCAGCAAGACCAAGAAATATTTCTGTAGTCAAGACACCAATGAACATGGCCGGTGTACACAATCCAGCTTTAGATGGAATAGCAGATAGACAGTTTTGTATGCATTCATACAAACACTTATTTAAAACATTCTATTCTAATTAAATAGGGTAATATGTACCTTATTTCCATCTTGCTGAGCAGTAGGCACAATTTGCTGAGGTTTTTCAGTTTCCAATCATTGCTTGGACTACTAACAAACCTTATGTGAATAACCAAATAACGAAGTCTCTTTTCACAGTTGAATTAGATATTTAGACAATACTGGATTTTTAAGCTTGTATGGTTTAAGATGTTTTGGTCTAATTACACTGCAATATGATAACTGTTCCTCTTAACTTAGAGTAGTAGTTGTAACTCACATCTGTTACTCCCAAGAATAAAAATTAAAACAGTTATTAGCATAATTTTGTCATTTATTGTAGAACAAACAAATGACTTTATAATGATTTGAAAAACGTTTTGGTATAGAAAAAGAAATACAAGAAACCTATTGCTTTGAATGCTGTAAAGATAAGGTACATAAATATTATCAGCATAGAAAAAAAATGCTTCCAGAAGTGGATGTATGGAAATTTAAAAGAAATGGATGTATGTTTTCTTGGCAATTAAAATACAGTATCATGGGTTTGTAGCAAAGTATTACAATATGAGACCCCTGGTACTTATTGTATTTAATCTGAGGTTTGCAGATCATAGTGTAAGAAACAATTCACAATTATCTGCAGATTAATTCAAATATGCACATTTGACTCTCAGATGGCTGTATATACAGTAAGCTGAGGAAGTTAGAGGATTTCTTGCCTTATGAATTTGCCAGTTAAAGGACTCAGTCATAAAGTAACATCACAGAAGGGTAAAGAAGTAGAGAAAGTTGCTTAGGATTCTGCAAGGCTAGTACCAAATTTTCAGTGTTTGTAGCTAACAAATGAACAGTCCTAACAATAATTGACCTATATACTGCCTGGAGAAAGAAGTTCCCAGGTCATTTTAAAAATTACAATTTATTTATTTTGGTAATCCTAGCCATGGTAGGAAATGTGTGCTTCCCATTTAAAACCACTCAGAAATCCAAGTTCTCTGCATATAGCTGTGATTGAGCACCACTGAACTTAAGGAAAAGAGAAGAAAAGGAAAAAAGGAAGGAAAGAATAAAGGCAGAAGCTTACTAATATTTCTTAGACCTTATTTCTAGTTTGATTTTTACATTAAAAAAAATGTATTAAACAACTTGCCAATGCATGAAGATTAAATTTATCAATGTATGTACACATGTGTATCTCAAACATGCAAAGAGAGAGAAAGCAAGAGCAAACAATAGGTTATGCCAGGCTGATATTGTAATGTCCATTGATGGTGGATGAATAAAAGTATAGAGCAGTCCCAATGTTGTTATCAGCCTCCTGGTGGGTTAGATTTTTTTTAGGGAAATGCAGCACATGCAGTGGGGTTGAAGTTGATTGTAGTAGTTATATGACACCTTCTGGGGAATGAGAATTGGGCACCAGCACAATTGATTACATCATTATCTCAACCAATGAGCTTAACTTACTGGACTCTTTAGGTGATAATGAACAGGCCAGATGGTGGCCACCTTCTGTTGACCCCAAATTTACAGTTTCCTCAAACCTGCACACACCTTGATAAATTTCACCATATTGATCTAGAACAGATGCACTGCAATGAGGGCCAAATGAATTAATAGGTTGAAAAAAAAAATACACATTTGTTCCATCCACACCAGATACAACAAATTTCCTTTAAACTAATGAATAAGGGACCAATAATTTAGCAAAGTTTAAAATTTTGACTTGAAGCTCTGTAGAGCCCCCTGCTGGAAGACAGAGTGCAGAACTCACATCCTAGGCAACAAAGATCTAAATCTTGGTTTAATCTAGAATGTGTGCATGCTAAAGAAGAACATATTAGCTGCTATCCCCTATATTGGAAGAACTGACATCTTCTCAAAATTTAATGACAAAAAGACTGTTAAAAGAAACAATTTCTGAGGAAAAAAAAACAAAGCTTTTGGGTGGAAAGTTGGCATCAACTGATTGCAACCATAAAATCCAACAATTCCCACACCTTTGGCATACGGTGATTCAAAACTGATCTATAAACTTGCTTGTTACATATCTGCAACTGCATAAGAAGCTTACTTTTGATTATAATATAAGCAGGAAAGTGCTGCTGCTGTGTCATTAAACCTCCTACCAATCTGGCCAATGGTATCTACTGGGGCAATTAATAGATCAGTTGAAATCAAATGAAGCCCCTGATAGCAATTATATCCCTGCTGAGGTTTTTCAACATAACAGAGACTGGTGGACACCTGTTTTGGCAATTCTTTCTACCTTTACTGATAAGATCACTTATGTCCCAAAAGACTGGGCTGCACCAATCATTATCCCAATTTATAAGAAAGGACAAAAGAAAGATCCTGCCAATTTTCAGCCAATTAGGTTCCTGAACATAGTTAGTAAAATGTACACCAAAGGTTTATATCAAAAACTCTCTGATTGGATATCAGACATCCAGATCTTGGTGGAAGAGCAATGTTTAGATAAGGTAGATGTACAGTTAATCATGCAATGATCTTATATCCATCTGGTAGAGAAATATGCCCATAGCTTTAAAATTCCACTACATGTAGCCTTTGTAGATTTAAAATCATGCTTTGATTCTATTTCCAGAGAAATTCTATGGAAGAAATTGCTTCACCATAGATAGAAGACTCCTTTTATTGATACACTAATACCAGTCTGAGGGTTACTTGTGGCTCCTAAGGTCAACAGATTTAATCCCTCTAACTCAGGATGTTAAACAAGGATGTATTCTTATCCTACTACTTTTTAATTTTTATATAAACTTGGTGATCTCAAATCTTAACAGCCTGGATTTTCATCTCTGAACTGGCCAAGAGGTATATCCCAGTCCTCTTCTATATTGACAATTTGGCTACGCTGTTATGCTTGGTTATAGTATTGAGGAAGACTTGAAAACCCATTTACACTATTGTGAAGACCAGGAGTTGTCAATCAACTATCAGAAAACTAAAGTTTTGACTTCTGCTATGAGAGTGAAAGAGTATATCTATACAAGTAGTCCTCGATTAATAATGGTAATTGGGATTGGAATTTCTGTCATTAAGCGATGCGGTTGTAAAGCGCAACATCATGTGACTGCATTGGTTATTGATGACAATCCTGGCAGTTTCCGCTGCCATCATTAAGCAAGGTTCACAAGTTGTTAAGAGAGAACCTCCTCACAACCAAAGTCAATGGGGAAGGCAGCAGGAAGTTGCAAGTCCCAGGTGGCTCACAAGGAGGCCGGTAGGCAGGTAAGTGGATGCTGCCGGGTGGGGGAGGGTGCATGGGGGGCCACTGCGGCATGACATGAGTGCAATGAGGCTTGGGGTGGTTGCTGCCAGGTAGGAGAGGGCACATGAGCATGTGTGAAGGGCTGCTGCGGTATGGCACAAGTGCAGTGTGGCTTGGGGTGGCTGCTGCTGGGTTGGGGACACTTACCAGAGCAACTTGCAACCTTCCCTTCTGGCTTCCCCATTGACTTTGCTTGTGAGAAGCCAGCAGGGAAGGTTGCAAATGGCAATCACGTGACAATGAGACATTGCAACCGTTGTAAATGCGAGCCAGTTGCCAAGCCTCCAGATTACAATCACGTGACCACGGGGTTGCTGGGACAGCTGGAACTTCAAGGACCGGTCGTAACTACCACTTATTCAGCACTGTCATAACTTGGAACAGGTCGTTGCATGAATGGTCGTTAACTGAGGACTATCTCTACTATCAATGGTAATATACTGTGAATGATAACAAAATAGATCAAGTGAAGTTCTTTATCTAGGAATAACATTTCATGCATCTGAGAGGCAAGATGTCCAATCAGATTACTTGTTTTAAGTTTCTCAGAGAAGCAGTATAGCCATTCATTCTTTTTTTAATACTGGAAGGACAGTATATTCCTACCATGCTGACATTTTATGAGGCCAAGCTGATAGCACAATTGCTCTATGTTCAACTGGGTCCCAGTGGAGAAGGTGCAATCTAAATTCTGCAGGTACTTAAATTTGTCTCCAATGTTGCCATAATAACTGGTTATCAGAAGAGTAGAGACTGAATCTGTATTGTTATTCCAGGTAATGACCTCATTGGACTAGTTTCTGTAATAATTAGAGACAGCTTTTGTTCACAGTAGAAGTTAAGGTTTAGAGATAAACTGATATTACTGTAAATGGCATTTCATGGGAACCCCTGTAATCATTCTACTATATCAAGCTAATAAGGGTATAAAATAGAATTCTTAATATAGAGTGACAACATACAGTACAGTCAGCCTTGGCCCAGGGTGACTTAAACTATGGAGGCTCCAGCCCAGCTAATTACTGTCAATGTTTGATGAGCTGTAGATACTCTACCTTCTTTGGCTAGGCTAGAGGATCTCCCCTCAACTTATTCCCTCTTATCTTGATGGTATATACTATTGCAAGATCCCTTTCCTGGAATGTATCTGCCCATGTTATGATACTGTCATTTTTATCAGGATCTAAATGACACTCTAACTTCTCCTCTCTTCTCCTTTTTTTTAATATATAATGTTATTGAAAAGTTTAAACACAAGAATTAGACTAATACAAACTAAAATAGAGTGAAAAAGAAAAGAGAAAAAAGAAAAAATGAAAGAAAAAACTAAAGATGTGAAAAGAAAAAGAGTAGCAGAAAAATAGAAAAGAAAGAAGAAAAGATATAAAGAAGTGGCTTCCAATCTTCTTTACAGCAGTTATAAGTACAATTATAAATTAACTTCTCTCCTTAAAATTACATTGTGACTCTTCTTTCTGTAATCTATCTTCTCCTAAAGAATCTATCAGGTAGAGGAGGTATACATCTCACTTCTTTGGTCAGACCTCCAGACCAAAGTTACCCACACTAGCTAACTTTTGTTCAGCAGGTATGAAAATTCACTCTCAGCTAACATCTGGCACATTGAGTTGCTTACCAAATCGATAACATGCTCTAATTGTCAACTGTCCCCTTTTTGCTCCATTTGTAATAATTAAATGCTTATTCATTTTTGTTACACATGTATGTTTAAATGTATTCCCAATGCTAAGCGACATTTTATTTTTTGTTACACAATATTACGACAAATTTATTTTAGGTCTTGACTAGGTGATATATTTTACATAGTTCATATAGTCTTCACATCTTCTAGTCTGATAATGTGTTGTACGTTTTGTTTGTGACATTGTGTAGTGCCTTTGTATTTCTGTTTATCACACTGACTGGCCATTGACTATAACAAATAACACTAATAATATATTAAGGACCGGAGGAGTTTATGGATGTAGAGTGTTAAATAAGGCAGCAAAATTCCCTTCCCTTCCCTTCCCTTCCCTTCCCTTCCCTTCCCTCTTACAGCAATCCTTGCGCTGAAGTAACAATAGTTTTTTTTTTATGCTCAGAAACTGTTTTCTCATATATTGTATGAACTCAATTGTGAAGTTATGTTATTCTCTTGTTACCCACAGAGCAGACTCTAGGAGTATGCTGCAAGCTAGATCAAGTGTCATTAAATAATTGAAAAAAGTCATGGACAGTATTAGGCTTATCTGTCATGTTCAATTAGCAGCATACACTGCCTAGAACTATTAGAAATAATCAACACATAATATCAGGCTTTAAAAAATTAAACTAAGCACAAAATCTGGGATTCCATGAATGAAACACGCAGTTTTAAGAGTATTTATGCAGTATAAAATTCAAGTAATAGAAATCTATTTTGTTAGTGGGCAGAAAGAAATGCCTGATAAACAACAAAAAAATAGAGCTTCAAACCATGACCCTGTATACCCATATTTCCCATTGCCATGATAAATTATGATAAAAAATTATGATGCTGATGCTGATATATATTCCCCCAGATTCCATAGTTACTGTTAATTGAAGAAAGCTCATCAAGATTTCCAGACTAAAGAGAAGGGCTATAGCTCAATGGTAAACCTTCTGCTTTACATGCAGAAGTTCTCACATTTAATTTTATTCTCTCCTCCACCAATGGGCTGGGACAGACTCCAGTGTGAAACCCTGGTTGAAAGCTAATGTAAGTCAGTGTAAATAGTATTGAATTAAACAGATCAATGGTCTGACTCATTAAAAGGCCCACATTCTAGGATGTGGGACCCTTTTCTTGACAAATAATATAAAGTTGATATTCCCATGAAATAAACAATACATGCTTAAGTTAATGTATTACATTTCTGTCACTGAATTAAACAACATTAAACAACAAAGAATAAGTGCAGGAAAAATGGATGTGTATTGTAGAAAGACATGCTACATGTACAATCACAATCTACACTGCAGCCTCCCCTGTCCCCCACTTAGAAAAACTCCCGTGATGCCTACAGAAAGGATGGCATATACCTGTTCATTTATTTTTTGAGGAAAATGATCCAAAGCTACATATTTGCGTGTGGCAAAAGTATCTGAACCTCTAGGATTACAGTATCAGTTCATTTGAAGTGGAAATTAGAGTCAGGTGTTTCAGTCAATGGGATAATAATCAGGGGTTAGTGTGGGAGGTCCTGCCTTATTTAAAGAACAGAATTCTGGGTATTCAGTATCAAATTCTGATCTTCATAACACAGTATGTGGAAATGTGTCATGGCTTGATCAAAGGAGATTTCTGAGGCCCTCTGAAAAAACAGTTGTTGATGCTCACCAGGCTGGAAAAGGTTACAAACTATTTTCAAAGAGTTTGGATTCCACCAGTCCACTGTCAGGCAGATTGTATACAAATGGAGGCAATTCAACACCATTGTTACCCTCTCCAGGAGTGGTCGACCAACCAAGATCACACCAAGACCAAGGCATGTAATATCTGGGAAGTCTCAAAGAACCCCAGGGTAATGGCTAAGGAACTAAAGGCTTCTCTTGCATTGGCCAATGTCAGTGTTCATTAGACCACCATCAATAGAATATTGAACAACAATGGTGTGCATGGCAGGTTGCAAGGAAAAAACAAAAAGAACATTGTCTACAAACTACAGTTTGTGAAAGACCCTGTGGATAAGTCAGCTATTGGAAGAATGCTCTGGGAAAGACAGGACCAAAATATAACTTTTTGGCTTTAATGAAAAGCATTATGTTTGGCAAAAGGTAAACACTGCATTCCAGCATAAGAACCTTATTCCACCTGTGAAACATGATGGTGGTGGTATTATAGTTTGGGCCTCTTTGCTGCCTGTGGACCAGGAAGGCTTGTCATCATTGATGGAACTATGAATTCGGAGTTGTACCAGCAAATTTTACAGGAAAATGTCAGGGTAGCTATGCGTGAACTGAAGCTCAAGAGAAAATGGGTCATGCAGCAAGACAACAACCCAAAAACACAAGTCATATGATCAAAGAATGGTTAAAGCAGAAGAAAGTTAATGTTTTGGAATGGCTGAGTCAAAATCCTGACTCTTAATCCTATGGAAATGTTGTCGAAGGACCTGAAGCAGGCAGTTCATGCTAGGAAGCTTGCCAACATCCCTGAGTTGAAGCTGTTCTGAAAGGAGGAATGGGCTAAAATTCCTCCAAGCCAATGTGCAGGATTGATGAACAGTTATCAGAAATGTTTATTTGCAGTTATTGCTGTCCAAGAGGGGTACACCAGTTACTGAAAGCAAAAGTTCAGATACTGTTGCCATACAAATACGTAGCTTTGGATCAATTTCCTTGATAAATAAATGAACAATTATAATGTTTTTTACTCATTTGTTTAACTGGGTTCTCTTTATCTAATATTAGGACTTGTATGGAGAACAGATCACATTTTAGGTCATATTTATGCAGAAATATTGAAAATTCAAAAGGGTTCACAAACTTTTAAGCACCACTGTGCCAATATGCCCAATGCAAATTGAGAATTAGTGGAAACCCTTCACCCTTCCCACCCCCCAGTGCATTCTCTACTGTTGATTCCTGAAACAATATTTCCTTCCCCATCCTGTAAACCAACCCTCCTGTCTTCTCCATGAAATTCCTCCTTTACATTCAGTCTTTTCAGTTTTCTCATACAGGTACTATTTTCCTGCATCATTTCTGCAGTATTTGTCAGCTCTCATTACTGCCTCATCAAGTCTTCTAATTCTTCTTCTGTGTGCTGTTTCTCTTAGGGACAATTTACTTCACACATGTTACATTTACCATTTAGTGATTCCCAAATCAAGCAAGGGTTGCATACTTGCATTGTTGTTGTTTAGTCGTTAAGTCGTGTCCGACTCTTCGTGACCCCATGAACCATA